TAACTCTTCTCATAATAACCAACTTCATTTTACAGAAAACTGAAATTCCTAAAGATTAATATAAGGTGAAACTGGGACTAAACCGTAAGTCTCTATGACTCTGACTTTTCACTCTATCATAGTACTTAACTCTTCTTTTTATAAATACAGTAATTGGGGTTAAGAGATACTAAATGATTTGCCCACAGTCAAACCATTTTCTAATGGTACAGATGTTGTCTCCCAGATGAATGCTCTTTGACCATCACCACTGCTAAACTCTCTTTTACACTTCCTGCTCTGTCATCTCTATGTTCAATCTGTGACTAACTTAGGTTGTTCTTTTCTTCAAATTTTTTCTGATATCTATTATCTTCTATCCACTTTCTTGCCCTTTGCTTTAATATTATAGCTTGGGCCCTCATCACTGATGCACAGATTACCCTAACAGCCTCCATCTATCCCTCCTCAACCCATTTACATATAAGCTAGTCACTTCTTTTCTCTGAGGCTCTTATATATAAACTATAAATAATAAGATATCCACAGTACAGAATCGTGAAGATTAAATAAGCTCACTTATCATATAGAATAATTATCAATAAGATTAATAATTATACACTGTAAAATCCTACTGAAATGTAAACTATTATTATCTTAAGATATATGAGGGCAGACACTACAACTTACATTTATTTTACCTCGGCTTTAGGCATCTGGTATAAGTTCAAATGCATACTTAGCTGGCTGATTTCTTGCCGATCTTCCATACCCCTACTAACGTTATCTAACAGACTAATCTGATCAGGTGCAATCTCCTTTATGATAAAGCCTGAACACCAAAGCTATGGTATAATTAAGCATGGTCTTATTAATTATAGAGTGCATAGTATGACTAAGTCCTGTATAATCAAAGTAGAGATGCTCCTGATGAAAAACCCTATCTTCCGCCACAGAGAATCTCCTAACATCATACTATCCTTTCTATGACTGTCTAACTGGTGAACTCCTATCCATCATCCATCAAAATTTAGCCAAAATGTCACCACTTTGGTAAAGTCTTCCTGACTCTCTCCTCTGCTTGCCGGCATCTCATATGATCCCATAAATTTAATTACCCATTTTCATAATAGCATTCATTCCCCAGTTCTATAATTGCTTATATCATAGTACCTCCCCAAGTTTGTGAGGAAATATATTTCTGGGCAGCTAAAGAGTTAATGAGAGGAAAGTTCTTCTTTATAGAAGAAGAACTCGAGCTTATCAGTGCAGAAGAAGTAAAAAAAATTGGAATATAACCATTTTGCAAACCTCTTATGAAGAAAGTGACTAGGAAAAAATCATCAATGGATACAAAACAGTAGTTCTCAATCCTGAGTGCCCTTTAGAATCACTTGGGAGCTTTCCAAATATACCTCTGCCTAGGTCCCCCACCCAGAGATTACGATTCAGTTGGTCAGGGGTATAGTCTCACTGGTGTTTTTTAAAGCTCCCAGATGATCCTAATATGCAGCCAAGGTTAAGAATCACTGCCCTAAACTATGCTGTACATGGGGACCTTTCTAATAAGTGGATCAGGATGATAGCGCTGAATCTACTGATTAACCTTATAGTTACTAAAAATGGGAGACAACCAGACATTATGCGTCTCCTTATACAATGTAATAGGAAGAACAAAGTACCAGTTATGTGCCAAAAAGCTGAACCGGAATCTAATCAGGGCTCTAGATCTAACTATCAGTCTACAGAAAATATGGGGTTATGTAATGAGACAGTAAGAGGATGTAATTGGCCAAATCTAAAATGTGGGAAAATCAACAGGACAAAATATCATGGTCTCTTTAACAAATAAACAGCATGGAAAACGTGTGTCTGTGTGTGTATGTGTGTTTATGTATGTATAAGAAACTGTTAAAATTAAGTGACTCAAGAGAACAAATGCCATGTGTAAAAATACATGTTTAATGAACAGGTGAATGAATGAATGAATGCTAATTAGAGAGAAAAGACCCATCATTATAAACGATGAATTATTAAATCTTGTACTCTGAAAAGCAGGGCCAGATGTGGAAAAGGATGCAGAAGCACAATATTTTTGTTATGTGAATTAGTGAAATATTTATCTGTTTCTGTCATGGTCACAGAGGACATTTTCTAAAATATTTCAATGTACTTAATGTTTGCTTTTTAATTTATATTTGTATTTCCTTAAAATTTTGAGTAAAGAGAAAAATAGAAACAAATCATTATGGGTCAAATATAACCACTGTTTTTCTATTGGGGATGAGATACAGTTGTTCTGTATTAGAGCTGTCTGACAAAATTTTCTGTGATGATAGAAATGTTACATATCTGTGTTGTCTAAAACTATAGTCAGTAACCATATATGACTACTGGGTGCTTGAAATGTGGCTAGTGTGACTGAGGAACTGAATTTTAAATTATTAAAAATTTATATAATTTAAATCTAAATAGCCACAGGTGGCCATGATCAGACAGCACAGTTCTAGATGACTATAGCTCTCCTTTCTATCTGCAATATTTTCCCCCTTCCTTTTGACCTAATTAAATCACCACATCCTCTCTTATCAATGCAAGATCTTGAAGCACAATGTACCTTTCCTTTTCTACATGTATTACAATTGCAATTTTACCTTGATTTGTATGACTGTTTCATTAACTTCTGTTTCTCCAACCTGACTCTTTAGGAGAGAGTTTGCAATGTTCACTGTTGTACTGCTGTCACTACAGTGACAATCAAATATTTATTAAGTAAATGTTACTATTAGATAACATCATGTAGTTGAGTTTTTGTGATATATGAAGGCTTTACATTTCTCCTAGTTCCATGTGATTTGATCCAAAATTTAGAGCATCCTTTAACACGCACATAATATACATACAAAGTGGAGAGAACCATACTATGAACCCCCAGGTAAACATCACCTAACTATAGAAATCAGTAATTTACTGATACCACTCGTTTTATACACACCCTTGCCCCTGCCTTTACACCTTGTGTTATTCTGAGGTAAATCCCAGATATCACTTCATCATATTATTATACATTTTAATACATGTTTCTAAAAGACAAGAACTCTAATTTTTATAAATGTGTAGCACCGTTTACATATAAGTGACCATTATCGTAACTGAAACAAGAATCACTATTTATCCAGTGTTCAAATTTCTTCAACTGTCTGAAGATTTAAAAAAAAATAAACACTTGAAGAAACTGAGTTATTATTCTTAGGGTCTCTCACACCATGAATCTGGTTGACTTAAACCCCTGTGGTGTTAACAGAATTTTGTTCCATATTTCCTAAAAACCTGGAGTTGGATCTAGAAATTCGATTTGATTCAGCTTCAATTTTGTTAGAAAGAATACTCTGTAGGTGGTGTCTTAACATCCTCTAAGTACATAATACCTCCTTGTATATCTTTATGGGATGTTAGCAGCTATCAATGATTATTGTCTGATAATAATGATACTCTAATCATCTTTTTTCCATTTATTAGTTGGATTTCTTCCTCCGGGAAAAACTACCTGGTTAATCGAAGTTTATATGTGCAGAACAAGTTATATTTTAGAGATAAGGAAGCTAAAGCTCAGAATTTCTGACCTGAACAAAGTTACACAGCTGGTTAATGGCAAAGCCAAAATCAGGCTTCAGGTCTTCTGACTCTGAGCCAAATGCTCTTTTCAGTATACCATTCGATTGGTCAGATTAGATAATAGGAAAAAAAATGTGAAGCTGGCTCAGTGTAAATATGTACATGCTTAGAATTTAAATCTAGTTTTAAACATTCAATTCCACTCTTTTCTATTATTTAAATTATTGAGAAATCACAATATGAAAAAGTTCAATTGTTTTCACCTCTGCCTAATATATTCTTTTTCTCTACATTTTAATCTTAGGAAGTAAATACTTTTCTAATAGAAAATTACTACCTTATTGCATATAAACTCCATCAAACCAAGATTCTGTAAACATTACTTACAGGTAGGAGACTAAGAGGATAATTATACTATAGGATCCACCCTAAATATATTGAACATTTCATAACCACATTTAATTAACTTATATGATTTCCAATAGGAAAAACTGAAGCTAAGGTCAAATTCAAGTTTAAAAAGTACTGAGTACTGGGACTTCCCTGGTGGCGTAGTGGTTAAAAATCCTCCTGCCAATGCAGGGGATACAGGTTTGATCCCTGGTCCAGGAAGATCTCACATGCTGCGGAGCAACTAAGCCCGTGCGCCACAACTACAGAGCCTGTGCTCTAGAACCGTCGAGCCACAACTACTGAGCTTGCGTGCTGCAACTACTGAAGCCCTCGCGCCTAGAGCCCATGCTCCGCAATAAGAGACCCACTGCAATGAGAAGCCCGCGCACCACAATGAAGAATATCCCCTGCTCGTCGCAACCAGAGAAAGCCTGCGTGCGGCAACCAAGACCCAATGCAGACAAAAAAATAACTCAATTAATTTTTTTTTAAACTGTAAAAAAAAAAAAAAAATTGTAAAAAAAACACTTAAAATAAAAAAAAGCACCACTGTGGATCAGGTACTGGTGCTAGAGTCAGAGGATATGAAATCAAAGTCAAAAACATGTACTTCTAACCTCTGGGACTAAGCTCATCTAGGCTATACTCCTTATCAAAGAAAGTTAAGTCTCAGTGGACTCCTACACAATTATTTAATATTTTTTATGAAAATAAGACTTCAAAGAGTCTTTCTAAAACATAATACAAAGATCTAAACTCAAAAAAATTATTCTGAAGTTTCTTAAATTACTGAGGACAAAAATTATATTGACAGATACTAACTCTGGTTTTATGAATTCTCAATGGTAAGATCATTTTATTTCAATAATACAGCACTTATAGTACTCCAAAATACTTTTAGAGATAAAACCTAGATCTCAAATTACTTGTTTGAAATGAAAAGTGTCCAAATCTATCCTAAGTTTCTCTTTCCTAAGTTTGGGAGATTGCTCCTAGGAAAAGGAGACATGTACCTTTCCATGACAGCCAGGCACTCCTTTCTCCAGGTAAATCGACTCCCTCGTCGCAGTCGGAAAGTGCCAGATGTAGCTGAGACTGGGGGAGGCGTTTGTCTCCATTCCGGGTCCTCTATTGGAATGGGCGCGGGTCTCATACTTAGTGTAGCTCCTGAAATAAATAAGACTTTTTTGGGCAAATATCTTGCAATTTACTAAAACCAATATGACAAATATATCATGAAATCAACAATAAACTTTTGCCCCTTCACTGGAAATTGCAGGCCCAATACATTTGGTATTTATATTTTAAAAACATTATTTGCCCAAAATAAAAATCCAAAGAGACAAAAACTCTTCCTTAAAAAGTCCATCTATTCTACTTTACTTTGCTTATTTTATTTTGCCACGCTGCGTGGCTTGCAGGATCCTAGTTCCCCGACCAGGGATTGAATCTATGCTCTCAGCAGTGAAAGTGCAGTGTCCTAACCACTGCGCCGCCAGGGAACTCCCCCATTATTAATTATTTTAAATGTCATTTTTTTCAGTTAGTCATTTGTCTTTTATCTTTGTTTATGTCAATTTTTGAAACAAAGCTCAAAATCTCTCTCTTCAGGGGAATAAGGACATATGGTCTTTGGCCCAGTGACAACCCTTAATCAGAGTATCTTCCTCTGAAAAATTTCTCTTGAAATTCCTATTTGACAGTTTTAAGCTTTCTGAACAATATATCCTACACGTTCAGAACCTTTCATTACCACTCAAAAGACTTCTTGTTGTTGAGAAAATGGAGCCCTTTAATCAATGTATGCAGGTAGGAGATGAATTTAAAATAACACTAATTGTTGCAAACTCTTTAAAAAAAAAAGTCAAATATAGCATCAAAAGAAGAGAGGATATTTGATATGTTTTTAGTCTATTAACTAATTCAGATCTCCGTAAGTCTACCACCTGTTAATGCTATACTATTTTTTTACCTCTTGAATGTGATAAAACCAATGGAAAAAAATGTACAATTGAGATATTTTACTAAATCAGACTAGACTTTTCTCAGCCTGAACTGGTGATAATGCATGTATGCATATATTTCTTTCTTCATAACAGGAATTATACTCTATTTATTGTACCTTGCAATTAATACCAAGGGTAGCATTTCTACTTTACTACACACAGATTTGTTTCTTGATGTCCCCTTAATGGCTACATCTTTATATGCACTGTCTCATACAGATGTCCAATATTTCAACCAATCCCGATTTTCCTTTCCAAACCTGTTGTCCTGCATTCTCTCCCATCCAAGTAAATGGCATCCCTATTCTTTAAATTGCTCAGCTCAAAAATCTCAGAATCACCTTTGCCTCTGCTATTTTTTCCCACCTACTATATATCTAATGCACAGGCAAATCCTGTCAATTTTATCTTCAAAATATATCCAGAATCAGACGAATTTATATTACCTTCACTGCTACCACTTTAGAGTAAGCCAGCATCATCTCTCCTAAGCATAATTCCCTGGGATAGGTTCCAAGGATGGCCCTTCACAATAAGTCACACCTCCTGGTAATCATGCCTCTGAATCTGAGCTGGTCCTGTGACGCCTTTTGACAACATGGACATAGTTTGAGGCTAGGTCATAAGAAGCTTTGCAACTTCTGACTAGATCTCCTGGGATGCTGGTTCTGGGGGAAGCCAGCTGCCATATAAGAAGTATGACTACCCTGAGACCACGATGTTGTAAGGAAGCCAAAGCTAGCCACGTGGAGTGAAAGATGCCCAGTCTGCCTCCAGGTGCTCCTGTGAAACCCACCCAGGTGCCAGGCATTTGAGGAAAAAAGTCAGTTTGGACATTCTAGCTGCAGCAGACACCATGTGGAGAAGTGTAGAACCCAGCTGACAGAAATAAGGCCCTAGACATACAGCCCTAATATAGTTGTGTGGTAGCCAGCTTCCAAGGTGGCTCCTAAGGATTGCCAACTCCTGGTATTCACCTCGTTGTAGCAGGATTAGTTTATGTGACCAATAACATATGGTAGAAGTAATGATATGCCACTTTCAGGGATTAGACTGTAGAATACACTGTGGTGTCTGTGTTGTTGCTCTGGCTCTTAGATCACTTGCTCAGGGGAAAACTAGCTGCCATGTAGCAAGAACACTCAGCAAGCCAATGGCCAGGCCCATGTGGAGGACCTACTATCTCTGGCCAATAGGCAATAACGACCTGGGGCTTTCCAAGACTCATGGGAGTGACCTTAGAAGCAGACTGTCCTGCCCTGGTGACTGCAGACCTGGCTGACAGCTCGACTACAATGTCATGAGAACTCTGAGCCAGAACCTCCTTAGCTAAGCTGCTCCTGAATTCCTGACCCACAGAAATTGTGAGATAATAAATGTTTGCTGTTTTCAGCTCCTACCCTGTAGGGTGATTTGTTACACAATAATATAGAACTAATATAAGACATCACAACCACCTCCAGTTGTTTATTTCCCCAATTCCCTGACACACTGAGTATTATAAGTGTTATTAATTATTCACATTTATAAATTTGGCAGACAAAAAATTCTCTTTAATATACAAAGATTTCACTATTAGTAAGAATGAGCATCTTTTCCTGTTTCTGACAATTAACTTCTCTTGTGAATTTATATCTTTTGTCCTTTTTTCTTTTGAGTTATTCCTCTTATTGGTGTGTAGATACCATACCAACTGCTAGTCATATAGATTGCAACTATTTTTCTCCAGCTTTTCATTCATCTTTTTATTTATGATGTTTCAAGATCTTAATTTTTGTACAGTCAAACCTGTTAATCTGTTCTTTTATGGTCAATGCATTTTATATAACTCAGAATATTTTTATAGTTTTTACTTTTGTTTGAACTCTTAACAGATATATGATTTCCTGTCATGTGTGATGTAAAGTAAATATTTGACCTCGTCCTCAAATGGGCAAGTGTGTCACCGACACATTAGAGACCTACTGGCTTAAAAGGTGTGGCACATTCTGGTCTTCTGCCACACTGAAACACTGCCACACTCGTTCATTTACATATTGTCTCTTTTTGGTACTATAATGCAGAGTTGCGTAGCTGTGACAGAGACCACACAGCTTGCAAAGCTTAAAATATTTACTATCTGGCCCTTTATAGGAAGAGTTTGCTAACCCCTGATTTAAAAAATTCCTGTCCTACACACTATGAAACTCTAAACTGAAACCTTTCTTTAGGTAGTTCAAGAAAGAGGGTCCCATTCTGCCAAAATAACTTGGCAATTAGGTCTGGGCCCAATTCAAAGTTAACAAAGTTTAGGCGTAAGAAGGAACTATGGGTCTAGAGGGTTTCAAACTCCTTGTTTTGGTACTTTTCGGAATGCAAGCAGGATTGACAGTATAATGAGGGCTCTGGAATCTACCTAAGCTAGATTATATAAGCTTTATTCTACAGCCATGATAAAAGGTCCAAAACAGAGCCAAACTTGCTACCATGGCTAATAAAGACAGAGGTAGAAATGACCTGGTTAAGGCAGCCAGGTCCTCTCATCCAAGGTCTGGCTCTGGTAAAAGGATAGAGGGTTTCAGGGCTTCATTGGGTGGAGGGTGAGAAATAGGTCAGTAAGTTGCTACTAGTAGGCCATATCTGTAACTATGGCATGCTTTCTTAGAGTGATAAATGGGCACAAATAAAACAAAGAATACAAAGAATCTTAACTGAGTCATGAGGTTGAAGGAAATGAGCCAACTGATAATAATGGTTCTTCCCTGGTATTAGGGTTTATTGGTAATATAACTATGCTTCTTTACAATATCCTGTATTGTCCAGGTTTTCTATAAAAAGGAAACTTAGATGAAATAAAATTGGTCAGGAAGTCAAAGAAAGGGGGAGAGAGGGAAGGAGGAAAACAAAGAAGAGAGAGAAGTAAGTAATGGCCTGGTTACTTTAAAAGAAATCAAGGCAATTTATGCATAGAAGGTGGAAACTCCGAATAATTTCAAACTTGTAAACATACTTAATTTGAAACATAATATTATCATATTTCTTTTGAGGTTTTTGTCTTGTTCCTTTTTCTTTTTCAATGTAGTAGTATTTAAAAACAGCAGAAGAGGGCTTCCCTGGTGGCGCAGTGGTTGAGAGTCCGCCTGCCGATGCAGGGGACACGGGTTCGTGCCCCGGTCCGGGAATATCCCACATGCCGCGGAGCGGCTGGGCCTGTAAGCCATGGCCTCTGAGCCTGTGCGTCCGGAGCCTGTGCTCCGCAACGGGAGAGGCCACAACAGTGAGAGGCCCGCGTACCGCAAAGAAAAAAAAAAAAAGCAGAAGACGGAATTAATTCCCCGGTGGTCCAGTGGTTAGGACTCTGCGTTTTCACTGCCGAGGGCATGGGTTCGATCCCTGTTTGGGGAACTAAGATCCTGCAAGCCGCGTGGCAAAAAAAAAAAAAAAACAAAAAACACAAGAAAAACTCTGGAAACACTACAACAGATTTGTTCTAGAAACCTGTTCCTCTTGCTTTGGTTGAAACAGATGGAGAGCAATGAATAACCCAAGAATGGGTTCACAATTATGCAGGAACAATGTATGTAAGAATTTAAATCCCTCTGAAGTAAAATACAGGCATTCTGGATTGGCTAAAGAACCCAGTATTTTCTTCCCTATAGGAAGCATGTTACCTGTGTTCTCTACAGAAACTTTTTTTCTCCACATTATATCTGGGCCCCCATTAAGACAAAATATTGCAGATTTATCTAGCAGATCTAAACCCAGAGAAAACAAAACTCTTCCTAATTTGCTCATAGATTTTAACATTTTGGTAACTGTTCTCTTTGCATCTATAATCATTTTCTTGCTTATCAGGGTTACTTTTGGGTGAGCCTTTGCCAATCAGCTAATAAAAGAATGACTACAAGCATGTTTTTACTGCTCCATTCATAGACACTACCTTCTCCAAAAGTAATTTTTCATCTTCCCCCACGTCATAAACATGATTTCCCTGAGGCTCTACTCCCTGCAACAGTGAAGGGAGGAGGCATACTCTGCTCTCCAAATTTACTTCATGTGCAAACTTTATTTAATTGTTTAATTTAGAAATATGCAGAATCACCGCCATGAGCCAAGAAGAACTCATCAAACCCTGTCTGCTATAGTAATGTTTAAATTAGACAAGAGAGAGGACTGTTGAGC